CGGCGCCCGGCGCCGACGGCCTGGCTCACGCCAACGGGCTGCTGCCGCCCGCCGGCCTCGGCGTCAACAACGGCGTGGCGCCCGCGGCCGGGGCCGGGGGGGCCCCCACGGAGCTGAAGAAGAAGAAGCGGCTCTCGCAGTCGGACGAGGACGTGATCCGCCTCATCGGGCAGCACCTGCACGGCCTGGGCCTCAAGTACGTGACCCCCTCTGCCACTGGCAGGCTCCACCTCTGCCTGGGCTGGGGGGTTGTGGCCCCCCAGTGGGGGTGCCGTGGCCCGGCTGTGTTGGAGGAGCACTGTGACAGCCGGACCCCGTGGCAGAGGGACCGGGGTCTGGGATTGTGGGGGAGGAAGCAGTAGGGCAGAGCTGAGCTGATCAGGTGGGGGGGGAAATGGAGCCAGGATGCATTTGCCAGGCTGTGCCAGCCCACCCTGTGCATGCCAGTGGGGCCGAGGGACAGGTAGGGCCTCCTGGCAGAGCCCCAGTGACACACCAGGGCAGCCGGACCCCTGCCAGCAAGCAGGGAGGGTCAAGGGATCAGGAACCCCCAGCTGATGGGAGGCTGGCCTTTTTGGGAGGGGGTATTGTTTTGTTTTGGGATTTTTTTTGCTTATGACAGGTTTTGGGTTTGTTTTTGGTTGTTTTTTGTTTTGTTTTTTTTAAAGTTCTGGTTGGTTGATGATCAACCAACCTGAGAATTCAACCATCACGTAGGCCACTTTCTTACTGGAAAGCTTTATTCAGGTAAAAGGGGTGAGGGGTGTTGTGGATTTGGTTTGGACCCATGTCTAATAGCTGTAGATCTCCTTTGTAGATTGAGACTTCAGGTGACAAGTGCATTGACTCCTCTGTCATTTGGGCTGCTGCAGTATTTCTGTCTTGAGTAATTAGGCAGTGGGGGAGGGGGGACATCTGCTGAATACAGAGAGATGACCAATTTATTTATTTATTTATTTTTTACCCAATAAATCTTGCTTTTTTTTTTTCTTTAAAACATACCAGTAGCTAAACAGATATATTGGCATGTTCTCAGGGGGGGAATCTACAGGTGATACCCCTGGAATATCTTCAGCTCTAGTACTACAAAGGAAGACTAGCTCCTTCTGGAAAAGGATCACTTCTAATGAACTTAATACACAAATAAAATCTACTACTGGCATAGGCAAGTTTTAGAGCAGTAGGAGACTATCCATGACTGGTCATAGACCACACTCTAGTAAATATTCTGGTTTTAGTGTAAAGGGGAGGAGGGCCTTACAGGTTGGTGGGTTTATTTTAAGGAGCCAGCCTTCCAGAGACCTGAAATGAAGAAAAGCTAGGCCTGGGGTCACAGAGAAACAGAGACAGATCTAGTGTTTGTAAATTATGTTGTCACCCATGCAGACAGCTTGCCACTGCTTTATTTTTGACTAGCAGTGCTTGCTTGCACAGTGGTGGCTAGTCATGAAAGGGAAAGGCTATCATGGACTTCATGTCAGTTTTCAAACCTGTTGACATCTTATCTTTGATGCATACCAGTCTCTCTTTAAAAAAAAAAAAAAAAAAAAAGGGCAGGGGGGGGAGTGAGGTCACCCTCCCTATAACTTTCCAATTCTGATCGTGGCACATCTGCATAATAAAAAAGCTTGCTTTTCAATGCTGCAAACTATTGGAGCAATCAGTTTATTTGCAGGGGTACAACTGGTCCATATTTTTACACTGTATCTCTCCTGCAGCCAGACTGTTGATCTTCTCATGCAAGAGTCAGGATGTCGTTTAGAACATCCTTCTGCTACCAAATTCCGTAATCATGTCATGGAAGGAGAATGGGATAAGGTAATGTAGGGCATGTAGGACTGCATAACTGCTGTAAAATTAATAGCATCTGAGATGCATTTCACAATCCTCTTGGCTTATGTTTCTTTCTTTGTATACCAATTTTTGCAGGCTGAGAACGACCTGAATGAACTTAAGCCTTTAGTGCATTCTCCTCATGCAATTGTGGTAAGAGGCACCCATTGACATGTTTCAGATACAGTTGAGAATATTTGTAATAATGCAGTGTTGTGCTTACTTGAAAGTTAATGTTGGCTACCGTTCTTTGTTTTAGCAAGCAGCATGTTATTCCAAGTGTGGTATTGATTTTGCTCTTCTGCTACTTCATAGCACCTCATAGAACAAACCTATATATTAAGAACAATACTCACAAGTTTACATACTCAATATGGGCTCAAAGTTCCATTAGTTTTAGTGGATCAAAACTGATTCTGTAACCTATATATCTAGCTTAAAACCTAAGTTGGTTAACTTCAGTTACTTCACAGAAATCTGGGCAGTCCTTCCCCTGCCCCCCCCACCTCCCTTTCTTCCTTCTCCTCCTCCTCCAAAAGAATCAAGCTTGGGGAAGGGGGCAGGTAGAGGGTATTATTGGTGTTGAGGAGTCTGCTGAAATAGAATGTTATGGCTGCTGTTATAGAAAATTAACAATAGTGTTGCTTTTCCAGATGGCTTCTAATGGACAAATGTATCGCTGTTTCAGTTTTTATTTAGTGCTTTGTCCTGTTGGCTGGCTTTTTTTGTTAACTTAAAGCAGACAGCCTGGTAATGTCAAATCACAGGACCTGTGATCCTACACTGTTACAATGTATTTCATTATTTGTTATTTCAATAACTTTGTGAAAGCTGTGTGCTGAGGTACAAAATATTTCTGCATATACTCTGTATGATGCTGGATCAAAGTAGCTGCTTAGCTTTAACTAATATTCCTTCAAACATCCCATTTTTATCACCTTAAATGCTTACTGAAATTACTGTAAAATAGCATGAATAACTAGTTAATTGGGGGAGAGATGAAAACCATGGGCTGCCATTTCTCTTTTTTTATTTTTTGGGGGGGGGGTTGCTTTTTTTTTTTTAATACCTGTGCCTGTAAACAATGAGGAACCAGCTGATGGCTGCTTAGCTTCTTTCTTATAGCTGATTCATTTGTTGTCAAGGGACTGCTTCCTGTCTAGTGGGGGAGGGGAAGAGAGAGAACAGGAAGTAGAGTAGGGAAAAAGCAGATGTTATAACAGAACATCAGTTGATGCCTAAAAGAAGTTTATATTTTTGGTGTTTTAATTGTGTCTAAGTTTAAACCCTTCCGAAATCTATAGTGTGACGCTACTAGTGTTTGTCTCTACTTTGATTGGCAAGATTAAGACTGCAGGAAATGCTACTATCTAAACAGAATAGCCTGAAATATTATGTACATATTTACGAGTGTAGGCCTTTATTGAAGCAAACCTTACCATTCTTAATTTTTTGAGGATGTTGTTAATTTCTTAGTAGCTTTCAAAATGTTGCTTTCAATTTTAATTCTATAAAAAATTGACCAAAACAATAAGTCTTTAAAGTAATAACAAGTAAAATACCAATCTATAACTGTTTGAAGGAGGGAGAGGAGGTAACTTAATTAGGAAATTTCTTTTGAAGGCAAAAGTGTTGTAAATCCTAGCCTTGGAGCAAGGAAATATGTTTTTACTCAAGCAGTCAAACAAATGAAAGGTGGGTGGTTTTGTTCTACGTATTTAGTTTAGATAAGAGAGCCTAATTGCATTGTGAACCTCTTTTTTTGTTCATAGATTTCATAGACATTAGGGCTGGAAGGGACCTTGAAGATCATTGGGTCCAGCCCCCTGCCCAAAGGGCAGCAAGTCAGCTGGGGTCAGATCATCCCAGCAAGATAATCATCCAAATGCATCTGGAATGTGTCCAGAGTAGGTGCTTGCACCACTTCTGGGGGGAGTCTGTTCCAAATTCTGGAGACTCGGATGGTAAAGAAGTTCTTCCTTATGTCCATCTAAAACGGTCTTCCCTCAGTTTGTGACTGATTAGACCTAGCTGAAATGAGCAACAATCTTAAAAAAGCAACTGTTGAGTTTTTAAAATAGACCTCTCAGATGTACAGCATTATGAAAATAATAAATTAAAGAACTTGTGGACTTTCTTCATTGTATTATCTAAGTTTCTGGAGTTGATTAGGATTTAAAATTTTGAGTTTTTAAGCAGCTGTTCATAAACCCATAAGGAAATATTCTTTCAACGTGTTTTGTACAGGGGTTTTATTTACTGTGCTAATGTAAAGGTAATTGTCAGAATTAGTTTTGATGGCCATTCCAAAACTTAATCTTAATTTAGAGAAATAAGTAGACATTGAAAAATAGGAGAATAGACAAATCTTTTGTCTGACCTGACAAGAAAATCAAAAGGGCATAAAAAAGGATTAAATACCTGGCTGGTCTTTGCACTGTCAAACACTTCCGGGTCTATATTACAAAGTCTTTTTCTAGAATAGCTGCATTGGAGACATGAGAAAATGATACCCTCAAGCTGAGGTAGCTATATGACAAACCCCTTCATTTGAGTGTAGTTACATTAACACAACCAAGCTTTTATTGGCTTAGTTTGTTTGGGGAAATGGTGAAGCTACAGACAGAACTTCTTCAGTGCCTGCTGCATCATCACTATGGGGCTCTGCTGCCATATCTGTGCCAAGTTAGGCATAGGGTTGAGCTCTGTACTGTGGACATACCCAAAGTTATGTTTGAATTGCTTCTTAAGGGCAGGGGAGGAGGCATCTTTCTCCCATTCTTGGCCTTAAGAGACCAACTTCTTGAAATCCATTCAGATTTTTTTTATTTTGGTAGTCATCTTGCTGGTGCCTGCACTGTGTTTATTTTTTCCTCCTCATTAGGGAAATAGTTTACCTTTTTTATCTTGGCAGTTTAAACATTGTTATCCTGGAAGGTACCATACTATTCCAGTTTGTTTTAAATTATAACCTCAATTTTATTACAGGTCTGTATAGATGTGTTGTGTATTTTATTTGGGTTGTAGTGAGGTATACTTAAACAACAACAACAAAAAAACCCCAAACCCCAAAAAACACTGCTTAAGGAAAGAAATTCAACTTTTATGAACTAAACATCTGTTTTGGGCTTCTTGACTCCTAACCTGGCAGCTTATCTAATCGAGCATATCTGCAAAGACTAAATGCCTGGGTGGAGAAGTAGTTACTTTCAGTGTAGCTTATGTGAGCTTTACAAGCAAAGAATTATTTTTAATATGATTTTTTTTCTTTTTTTTTCTTTTCTTTTTTGTCAAACCATCTGCATATCAGGCTGTTTTCACATGAGCAGTTTAAAAGCAAAATCTAAGTTTGTGTGTGTGTGCATGCACAGAATTTTATAGCAGGCTATAATTTCCCAACCTGTGCAAATGGGAGTAATGTTGTAAGTATTCTGAGATCTGCTGCTGAAGGTGCTGATCAGAGTCTAAAACCACAAATGAACTAAAGGGTTGGTGGATTTTGGCCAGAACTGAAAATTAAAACGAGTATGCTCTGTTCATATGTCCATGGCCATAGAAACTGCTTCACCCATGGAAAGTCAAGCTGGTCTTGACTTTAATTTTTCCCAATTAAAAAGCTGTTGATTTTGACATATGACCCGATCTCTAGAACTAATATAGACCCAACCCAAACTGTGGCAGACCCTGGACAAGCCAAAGGCACTTGAAAGTGTAAGAAAACTGCCTTTGATTGCACAGGCTGTTCACTTTTGCTTGCAAATAAACTCTGTTTGCGTGCAGCTGCCACACCATGACTAGGCCTAGGTTTATGCCTGGAGCTTTCTCCCTCCATTCATATGTCTGTAATATTTTTAAACACCACTGAGTAGCATTTGTGCTGATGAATTAGATGATCAGTTATGTCTCCTCATCCTCTAATGTAGTTCAGATGATGCGTCTGTCTGAGAAGAGCCATAAGAAGACTTCACCAGAGAGCCCTAACTTGTACAAAGTTTAGTGGCATTGCACTAAAAAAATTGTTTGTAGCCCCACCCTAGTATATCGGTGTCTACATTTATGATTTCAAAGCAGAATTTCACTTGTCTGCACTAAGCTTTGGGCACCCTGGCGCATAATAAAACTCATGCTAGCTATGTGGGTATAACTTACATTTTTTATTTTTTTTTACACTGATCTAAATCATGTTGGGATCCAGAGTGGACAGATGATTATCTGTCCCAGTGTAGCTGCTTGCAGTAAGCTGCTGTTACATAGTCTCATTAATAGTAAGTACTAGTCTATATTTGACTTGAGTAAATGTTTGCTGGAATATGCAGGACGAATGACACCTGTACTAGTGTACTAGTCTTATTCCTGATTCTTTTGTGATAATTCTATAACAGGTTGGGCAGCCTTATCCCAGTATGAGATTTGTATGTCCTGTGCTTGTTTTTTCGCCATTCTAATGGTGAAGTAAACCATGCACATGTTGTTTGTCTATCATGATATTAACTACATGCTGCCTGTGCCTAATGTGATATAGCTGCTGCTGACATATGGAGTGAATTAATTTGCTGACAAATCAACTTTTTTATTAAGCCACATATCTAAATTGGTTTGAGGCTTTCTTAAACTAACTTGAAAAATGTATGTTTGTAAACTTAGATTAAGATGCGATAAATTATCGATAGCCTCATTAAACAAAGCCAAGCACTTACAATAGAGTGCCTTATCTGAATTTTATGAGACTGTCATAGGTGAAAAACAAAACTTTGGAAATTCAGGTCCTGATCCTGCAAATTATTTTAAGCAGATACATAACCTCCTTGCATGAGCAATCCCATTGAAGTGAGTGGGAATATTTATGTGCCTAAGGGTTTACGATATTAGGCACTAAAACTATGTCTTCAACGTGCTTTGGTGACAAGCTTGGCACTTCAGAACAAAGCCACATCAGTGTTTTCATGATGAGAAATTATTTAGAGTTTCAGTACATAAAAAGTTAATATATCTATAATATTTAAGTTTCAATTTTTCATGTTTTTAAGTGACTTAAGCACATGCATCCTACTGACTTCACGCTGTAAACACTGATCAGATTGCTTCAAATGTTCTTGACTTGAGGGAAATTCAATATATTGAAAGATAGGGTCCATTCTAAATATGGATTCGAGCATGTGCTTAAGTCACTTAAAAGTGAAAAAGGAAACTTAATTAGAATATTCTAATGTGCTTATCAACTTTGTCTTGCATTCATGTTTTCAGAGTAAGGATATTGATGAGGCCCTGGACTTTGCTTTTTCAGTCTCTGGATATTAAGTGCAAGACTATAAAGTCTCAATGTTATATGGTTTTTCATTGACAACTAAGACTTAAACAAATACTAAACATATTTTCTTAAAGTATTAAAGTATATTGGGGAGAAAATAAAGCACTAGCGTACAACTAAAGAAAAAAGTCAAATCTGTTCAAATAAAGCCAAGCTGCTATTCATGCAGAGTCGCATTATGATAACATTGGATTTTTGGCTCAAATTTAAGGTTATTTAATTTGTAAAATTTCTAGAAACAGCAGGATTACACTTTATTTTGAACTTGAGTATTGTATGGCAGCATGAGGTAGTATTTAACTGAACAAAAGTTTTTAGCCTGAGTTTGGGATGTCATGCCCCGTCAGTATTCCCTCCCCTCCCAGCTGATATACTGAGGACTCCTTACTGTTGGAACATGGAACAGACATAGTTTTTGCTGGATTTATTATGATAATTCAGCAATGAAGTGGCAACTATATCTCAAGCTGCACTGCAAGCATTTGGTTTATAGTTACTGTCTCAAAATTCTTTTCTCCTATAACAAGAGCAATTAATAGGGATTATGAAGTCTCTTAATTTAAAAAAAAGTCTTGAAATAATAGTTAAAGAAAATGTCTAGAAGAAAGATGTGTGAACTGAATATATGAGCACCCTCTACCCTATCAGTTTAGTACTGTTGGTGTTCTATTCAGTAAGAACTATATTGGCTCTAAGGGTTCACGAAACAAGGGTTGTTGTTAATCTTTTGTTGGACCAACTGTATACCTGGGAGAGACGTTATATGAGTTTTCAGGCAAAGTACCTGTGTTACAGTCAAAAATACGCTTCTAAGCTAGCAACAGGAAAGCAGCAACTTAAATGTAGGTAAAATGTTATCTAGGTTTTAAAAGGGATGTTACTTAGTATTCTGTTCAATAAGGCTAAATGATCTATTCAGGACCCTCCTGACCCTAGCTACTATAAAACAGAATAAATAGTATTGACTGTGTCATTTTCAGAGAAATAATCTGAATGGAGATTTTTTTCCAGCAGATTTTGTTCCAGATTCCAGAATAGCTCTGAGCATGGAACTGAGTGGGTCTTGCACCTTTTAAGGTCCCTCCTGTCTAGTTGGGGAAGATCACATCTGACAACAGAAGTAACTAGCAGACTTACAAATATAAATGCTAATAGTGGGGGAGGATATGAGCAGGAGACGCAGAATTTAGTCTGCCATGAAGAGACCCTTATCAGACAAGTAGTAGTTCCAGAAAAGTTGATGGAAGCATGGGGAGGGCTGAATTTTTTTCTATTATAAGTTAAGAACTTTTTTTTAACGTTGTAGCGAGAATGGTTCTGGCGATCTCTGAGGTTCTCCACCCTTAATTTCTCCTTATTTGAACATTCTTAAATTTATCCTGTAGTGTATTGGCTTTAAGGGTTCTCTAAACAAGTATGAAAAACAAGGGTTTTGTTGTTGTTAATCTTTTGTTGGACCAACTGTATACCCGGGAGAAATGTTATATGAGTTTTCAGGCAAAGTGCCTGTGTTACGGTCAAAAATACACTTCTAAGCTAGCAACAGGAAAGCAGCAACTTAAATGTAGGTAAAATGTTATCTAGGTTTTAAAATGGATATTACTTACAATTCTATTCAGAATCTCCTTTCCAGCTTGCCATTATGCTTATTAATCAGATGTTTTTTTTTAGCATGTAGTATTTGAACAGTGTCTGTAATGTGTGAAATCTCATGTTGCATCATTTGAATGGTATGGAAAAGGACTTGCCCAGGCTACCTGTGAAGTTAATGACTTTCAGAAGAGAAGCATGCTCTCTGTAGCTGGTTTGGCAACAGCACAGTCACTTGATTGCTATGCAAAATATCTGGGTTGAATGGTCAGTTCTACTGGTGTAGGCAGAGTTATGGCTACACAATAGCTGATACTGGCACTGCAGAAAGTTGCTCTTTTGGCCTTTCTCCTTCGCTGAGAGTGGTATTTCTAGAACCATAACTTCATAAAAAAAGCAAGGAGGAGAGATGGATGTAAAAGTTAGCGTGCAGTGTAAGATACGGTAACAGTATAATAAAAACAATTCTGTATAAAATACAAGTGAGAATTGGAATCCTCAGCAGCATTCTGCAGTACTTTTCTCCTGAAGGAAAGAAAGTATTAAAATAATTCAGGGAAAATGTGATCTGGGATCTTGTCAGTTGAACTCTTTGAAAGAGTTCCGTCTCACTTTAATCGAATCAAAATATAGGAAGGAATTTTATACAATGACTGACTTGGTATATACCATCTTTGTCCACACTGTAATGATGACAGTGTGAATAGAAGATGAGAATTTGAAAGAGGTTGCTTTTTTAAAATATGGCTTGTAATTGTTTTAAAATGTAAAGGTGATGTTATCAAATAGCTTAAGCTTATTTTTTTTCTAAATTACTAGAAACGCGTATCAGTTTTTTTTCTCAATTAAGTTCTTGTTTCTGCATTCCAGTAGAAGTTAAAACTGTAGCACTGAGTTACTGCACAATAAACAAACATGGATTTGTCCAAATGGAGCAATATAGGTTCACTAGTTGAGGTAAAATAGCAGTATGCAGTAAACCTTGGTAAGTGTAAATATATAAGATGTTAACATCATAAATATTTTGTTTGCTTCTCTGATACCGTGACTCTAAGATGGTAATACCTAGTTTAGAACTGCACAAGGTATTAGTAATGAACTAGCTTTGTAGTAGTAATGAGTACGTAAATATTTGACCAAATATTTACACTTTGGATCTGACAGTCTTTGGGATCTGCTCATCTCACGGGGGCTAGGAAGGGGATAAGATAATGAATCGTGCTTAAGTTCAGTCATGTGCAGCATTATTCTTTGTCACTCCCAGAAAGAAACTAGCAAATTGCACTTTTTCTTAAAAACAGATTTTTGCCTTAACCCATTAATTGCAGGCTGGGAATGTCTCTTCTCATGGCAGTAGGCCCTGAAATTAATGAAGTCATGCAAATTAAATTAATAAAAAATCAAACACCAAGTAACTCTATCTGGAAGCAACCAAACTGTTTTACTTTCATTTTAAAGATGAGCATACTTAGAAATTTCCAGGGTTGCAGGTTTTTAATGCCACATTGAATGCCTGCTTTTTAATAAAGGTAGAATCGGCTATTGATGAAAAGCTGGTTGTGAAGAAGTTTGTGAAGTTCACAATAGAACTTTAATAGAGTGATTTGAACATAGGTCAGGTGAACTCTGTGGGAAGCAATCACTTTCTGTGATCCTTGGGGAAAAAAGTGGCAGGGTTTAATATAAAAGTTCAAGTACTTTTACTTGTCTGCTATCTTGTTTTTCCAAGTTCCAGAATGTGATCTGTTGCTATGGCATCTTACACAGCCATTTCGGTAACTCCTTAGTGAGCTCCCATACAAACTGTACAACTACATGTTGACTTGACCTGCTGGCTAATTTTCTTTATTACTCACCATACGTGGAGAGGGTATAGGTTTTTCTGAAGTGAACATGGAACTGATCAAGTCCCATCTAAACCTCCTCTATGGGGTGGTGACTAAAGTGGGTAGTAGGGTGAGGAGTGATGTAGAAGGTACTTGAAGCTCCACCAAATGGGAAAGAGGAACTTGTAGACAGCTTCTAATATAACTACCACAGTTTTATGGGAAGACCAGCCAAAAGAATCTCTGTTTTAAAGTAGTGAAACATTACGTATAGTTATGTATCTGAAGGGCATAGTAGAATGGTTTCTACTGTTCTGTTTAGGCGCAAACGTTTTCTGAAACTTCAGTCAACCTTTTTCCTCTGACTGCTGCTTTCTGTCATGTCAGAGGATGAAGTTTTTGCTGCTGCAGCAGAAGTACCTGGAATACCTGGAGGATGGCAAGGTCCTGGAGGCTCTTCAAGTTCTACGATGTGAACTGACTCCACTGAAATATAATACCGAGCGCATTCATGTCCTCAGTGGGTAAGGGTGTTGTTCAGACTTGGACAGCTAGTTTGTATGGAGTTTCTTGAGGGATGTTATAACTAGGGCAAAACAATCTGGTCAGTATTTTTACATGTTTTATTTTAGTAATTTTCAAAGTGCATTTATTGTAGCTGCGTCAAAGTGAAATAACTTATTTTCTCTTTGGGCCAGTCCCATTCTCTTTCAAAATCAATGGAAAAACTCCGTAGTTTTTTTTTGCCTCTTCTCATTCATTCATGCTAACACTTCACGATCTGTTTTAGCTCAGAAGCCAACAGCATAGAGCAGAGGTAGGCAGCCTTTTTTGCTGCAGATCAGAATGATCTACCCCAAGTCAGAGGCTGGTCAGCAGGCACCAGGACCTGCCTACCAGCAGTGCTGGGCCTTGCAGTGGCATGGGGAGAGTACATGCCACAAGTCCACATCTGTAGCCTGGATCAAATGGTTCTGCAGGATGGATCTGGCCTACAAGCCATAGGTTTCCAAACTCTGGTATAGGTAACAGGTTGAAATGATCAGGGGAAGATTATATGTGTATTTCTGTTGTATCCTGATGTGCATTTCTTTTATCTAAGCCAAGCATTCACAGCTATTTTTATAGACTAGGAACCCAAACTGTTATGCCTCCAAATTTCTTCTTTTTTAAGGGTGTATTCACCCCCTCTTCTACAGGAGTAACTAAGTCCCCAGATTTTCTCTGTGGAGAAGTCAGGCATGTACACAGTGGCCTCTGTTTTTATCTACTGCAAAGGCCATTTCCACCAAAATCTCTCAATTTCTTTATTATTTTTTATGGTATCTGGCCTCTCTCATAGCCTTTTAGTAAGGAACATGATTAAAGGGAATTTTTTTTTTTTTTTTTTTTGGAGCAAATGGTTCTTAGCCATGCCTCAGAGTCCAACAATAAAACGTATTCATTTGTTGTCTCTTCATTACCCCAGGGACCAACTTCTAGTGTTCATGGAGTAGTAATAGCTAACAAAACTATTAGTGGAAAATACTGTTTTAAAACATTGTTGTGATGCAGCTGCAAATACCTCTCAAACTCATTTAGATCTGTTTAAATAGTACTTGTTGCCATGTAGGTATTCTTGGTGCTTATTCCAAATATTTCAAATCACTGTAAACTTTTAAATGATTGAATTGGGATTTTTATATTGAAGCCTTTGAGTTAGTCTTCTGGGGGTGGAGAGTAGGGAAGTTTACAGAAGGCCTCAGTTCTTATCCCTGTTTATTTGCCGCAGTTCATCCTTTGACTCCTTCATTTAGTCAAGCTTTTGCTTGGTTGTGGCTTGGGTGAGTGGTGTTTTGCTGTGTTCTGAAGATGAACGCACTCTGGCTCTAGTAAGCAGGTGCGGGGGGAAGCTTTGATTCACAAGCTGTCTGCTGAGAGAACCCTCCCTCTTCCCACACTTTCCAGAAAAAAATCCTTGTAAGCAGGAACATTGCCATATGCACCATGTTATAAGTGATAACTAATTCTGAAAGGTTTAGATCATAATCTGTGTTCATCTTTTATATTTTAACAGGTACTTGATGTGCAGTCATGCAGAAGACCTACGTGCAAAAGCAGAATGGGAAGGGAAGGGAACAGCTTCCAGATCTAAACTTCTGGACAAGCTTCAGAGTAAGATATCTTTTAGTATTCTCTGTTTATACAGATCTTTCTAAATCAAGTACACCAACTTAAACAGGGTTAATTTCTAAGGGAGCTACACTTGCTAGTAATTCTGGTATGCCATTGGTCGAATTTACTAAGATTTTGTTGTTTGTAATGGCAGCTTTTGTTTTTCCCAGTTCCATATCTCTGCAGTATATGGAAAGGGTATACATTGCTTTCATTGTCTGCTTTGGGTGTTAATTTACTGTTTCCATGTTACCAACATGAGTGTCTTACACTGTTCTTGATACTAGCTCAGGGATTTTTCTGTCTTGGGATTTGAGTTACTTCTCAATTTCCATGGGCCTGTCATATTACGTGATGCACTCAACGTTTTGATTAATAGTCCTACAGTACTGTTTAAAATGTCTTCTGTTAATAGGGAATACAAAAAAAAAAAAAGCACAGTATGACTGAGTGGGCTTTTGCAACTGAGATTTTTTTAGTTTAACATCGGTGTATAATGATCACTTACTATATACATGGAATTCTTACTTGTATATTGACTTTATACCTGTACAATGGAGGATTTAACTAACAGATTTCAGCACTAGGATGGATTTTTTTTTTTTTTTTTTAAATCTACCAAGAATCAGAAATTTTTACAAAGAGCTTTTCCCAAAGCACTCAAAAGTATAAAATGCATGTCTATACACAGATATTTTATTATAGTGTTTTATTTATTTTAAAGCATACCTACCACCTTCAGTGATGCTTCCTCCAAGGCGTTTACAGAATCTATTACGTCAAGCTGTGGAGCTACAACGGGACCGGTGCCTATATCACAATACCAAACTAGATAATAATCTAGATTCTGTCTCATTGCTTATAGACCACGTTTGTAGTAGGTAAGAGAATCTTTCCACTTTTTTTCAATCTGGGTAGCAATATCTATTTTTTTTAAAGAGATGTCCACATGAGCAATCTTTGTTCCTTTTGAACTATAGGTGTCTTAGTCCTGTTTTGAAATGGAACATGCTGAAGTTGTCTAGGAAAAGCCAGTCCCTGTTAATGACTGTACAAAGAAACTGGAGAATATGTATCAAAATGTTTCTTGATAGCTAGCGCTCTAACTCTCATTTCCATTATGGGTAATATTGAAAACTTTTAGTAAGATGGGGTGCTTATGAAGATAATACACCCTTCTAGGTTAAGGCAAGAATTTCCTAATTCTAATGTCTGAGGATGAGTTTAAGTGATACTTTGTCACTTTTTAAGAACAGTTGCTACTATTTTACATACCTACTCTCTCTTTAATCTTTTGTGTGCTAGGGAATTTAAAATTTACCCGTCAAAGCTATGCTCCTGATTTAGCTTATAATGAATGTTGGGTTTTTTTAATGTTGAAGTTAAATAGGAAAACAGAATGTGTTTTACTCTCTAGGTCTAGCTGCAAATGTGTCAAGCAAACTAAATAAGGCTGAGCACATGCAAATGTTTTAAAACTCTGAAATTTATAAGGGTTGTCTGGCTCTAACTTCCATTTTATTTCAATGTGCACAAACTTATGGGTTTTTGTTGTGGAGGGAGGGCAGGGATGGAATTTTTAATGGACTAAGTAACGGTGGTGTTTGAACTTCAGCCAACCAGAGCTCGTCAGTGATCTAAGAGAAGCTGCTTGAATGGAAAGACAAAACTTGTAAATGTCTGCAAGATATAACTTAAGGAATGACAGCCACAAGTTGTAGCCTGCTAAAGTAGCACTGCAAAATTGGGAGTGAATTTTACACTACTTTTTTAAATAGCGGTTCATTTCAGTTATCTGTCTCTAGTGAAGGTTTTCTTCATGTAAATGGCCACAGTAGCTTGCTACTGCTAGAACATCTTTGATATCGCCCTGTAATTTTGCTCTTAAATCAAGTTTCTTTGAAAACCTGGATCTTTAGGATTTGTACTCTGTCTTTGGAAAATAGTTATCTCCATAGTATTCTGTTACAGCAGCCATCTGACAACTTAGTGTAAGGTTATTAATTTAACAACACATCAAAGTAATTGTTTTAGCTCTAACTTTTTGTATAATTTGTAGTCTTGCTACTTTTGATTGCTACAATGCCATCTTGGTTCACTTGATTTCTAGAAGGAATTGGTGATGAGGGTTTTCAGTGAGAGGGGAACTGGGGCCTTTGTACTTTCCTTCAGAATAAATTCTTAGAGTTAGGCCAGTGGTGAATTGGGTAGCATATTAGCTTTTAATACCGCCAGTCCCCAAGTGTATGTTAATGATGTAGTTGGCAGGGTGCAATAAAATTGACTTGCCATTCTCTGAGATGTAGTTAACTAAAACATGCAGACACATTTCAAATTACATTCAGTTCTGATCAGACATTAAAGGAGACTGTTACTTTGCCCATGCTTGTCTAAATATCACCCGCATGTAAATACCTGCTCACCTCCTCTTTTACTTTTTTCCCCTAAATTTTGTATTGCCCATGTTCAAGCATGTAAATTGGGTGAATAAAAAATGAAATACAGTCTATAACCCCACAAAACATTCAAGATGAAGGCTTCCACTCTGTCCTCAACTCAACCTATTGTACCTACCTATTGCAGGGGTCTGAGATCAATATGTGATGCGCCGTACATGCTGCAATGCTTGGGCATAATGAGGTGAGTTAAAGACAGTGGAAGCCAAATTTTGGATTATTATTATTATTATTATTATTACTATTATTATTATTATTATTATTTATGTTTAGGCTTCTAAGTATGCATAAACAAACAGATAGAAATAATAATACTGTAATAGCTTAAAAAGACATCCATGATATCACTTGCATTATATTAAGAATGATAGACCACTTAAAACTTTCACACCTTTTGAGTCAGGGACTAATCTGTGTTGGCAATATTGTGCTCAAGCATGCTTGTCTCACACTAATAGGTATATTGCTGAGTTAGACTAAATCACTTCTGCTTCTCAAGGGGAGGCATGGTGGGGTGGGGGGATGTTTGGAGAAGGGCATGAAGGGGGAAAGTGCTTGGAGTGAAGGTGAGGCTTGCCACATTACTGTGTCTGGGCCAGTTATGAATAATGAATAACATAATGAAAAAAGTAAAATGGGGGTGGGGGAGGGACCATTTAAGAGTGTGTCTTGTTTAAAGTCCATTTCTAACTCTTTCTTTCTTTCTTTTTTTTTTTTTTCTACCTTGAGAACATGAAAGTGGAAACAACTTATTCTTCCCTCTTCTTATGGATGTTCACTTTACTCTATGGCTCATAGGGCTGTTTATGCTGAAGAGTTTACTTTCTGGGGGGAGGAAGTGAATACTGCTTCTTAACGATACTGGTTAGTTCAACAGCTCTAACCCTGTCAGTGTCTAAACAGTTCTGCCACTCCTCCCCACTGCAGTACTTTCATCATAAACAGTGGGGATAAATTCAGTTTGTTTTTCTTAATTTCAAAATGGGGCTTTGATCCTAGAGGACTAAATTTTAATTCTAAATATATGAAAATATACTGATGAGCCAGATTGTTGAGAGAGTGGAAATGAAGCATTGCATTGACAGACTGGCTAAATATGCTGCCATGAATGAAACAACCTAGTTGTGTGCATTTTGCAGGAATTTGTTTGAGCAACTGTCATTTTCAATAAAATGAAACCTCTTCAAGCAGCCAACTTCATTAAGCAACTTCTTGTCTTCAGACCACCTCATAGTATCAAGTTTTTAAAGCAACCAATTTATTGCTCAGTTGAATGGTTATTTAAGTCTTGCTGTATATATGAATTACATTGTCATTCATTTGAGTAGAGGATGCAATTCTCTTTTGCGACTGAAGGATCTGATGCAAGTGAATTTCATGTTAATGGACTCCCTCATTCTAGTTCAGTGCCAGTTAATGCAACTCCTACTGTAAATAATGTCTGAGCAACACACTTTTGTTTCCTGACACCCTTTTTGGCTTAACCATGGCATTGTTTTTAATCACATTTTTATATATCTTTATGCTAAATGTTTATGGGGGTTTTTTTTAAGTTACTTAAAAAAAATCCAACTACTTCAAATTTGAAGTATAGTATTAGACCTGGCACACTAGTATTAAAGCATTGTTAATAGCACTGAATTATGCATAAAACAAGATCTTTTTTTTTTTTTCTTTAGAACCAGTGTCACTAACTTGCGTAGTCTAAAGATCACCAGTACTGGGGGGAGGAGGGAAATCAAATAATGTAGAACCTCTGCATGTATGAAGGGGTTGTTTCTGACTCTCCAATTATAACTAGCTGTAGGAGTGCAGATCAGCCTTGTGATTCTCTGAATCTTGGAGTACAGTTTGTTCTGTATAGAGTAATGCTAGGAGCATTCAACTTTAAAGAAAGCAGAGAGTATCTTGCAGGATTCATGTACCCTTAGCATAATAAACGTTGTTTATTAGGGCTTTTTGTTGCTGATTCTACTTACTTCCGAAACTTGTACTTAACCAAGTCCTGAATAAAGTAGGAGAGTTTCTTGTTTGTGACTGTAACTGGTGCCTTGAATTTTCTTTTCAGTGTAATTTAAATTTTTAACTAAGTCTTTTATAACCAAATAAATTGTATGAGTGATTGTATTGAGGTAGCACTTGATCCCTAAGTCTGGGCTGCTCAGCTACCGGAGTTAAGTCTCTGGGTAGTGAGGCAGTGTGCTGCCATGCAGGGAGTTGTGTGAGCCCCAGCCACATGTGGTGTTGGAGGAGGAGGGAATCAGGCATGCTTGAGATTGCACCCATACAGGGCAGTGGTGGGGGTTGTCTGTGCAGGCTTGTAGAACAGCATGAAGCCCAGTGGCCTATGGCTCACCTGGTGTGGCCCACATGGCATACAGCCCCTGTTGCTGTGGCCCCTGGGAGCTTAGAAATTGGAGAGCCTGGCCTAAATAATGAGCTTAGCACCCCCTTGTGTAGGCATTGTACAAATAAATAAAGCCTGGCCTTACCCCAAGCACTTTACAGTTAGGCTAATACATGTAAGCTGTTTTGGGTTGAAATAACCTAATGTGTCTTCAGTGTTTAGCAAACTCGACTGTTTAGTAGGGTAAATATGTATAAAAACTGATCTCAAGTAATGCTTTTTTTGTTGTTGTTTTTTTGAGCGGAGAAAAAATTAACTTGCTTCTTGCAGATAACCTTTAAATATAACATAGCTTAGTTTTTGTGTAAACTTACTAAGTTAACTATAGGATTTACTTAATATGTAACAGAAAATGTAGACTAATTTCTGTTTGAAATGGTTTACTCTAAATTCACAATAGAGTAGTGACTGGAAGTTATGGAGTCTTTTTCCAATTAATATATAGTTAAGCCTAACATTCTACAGTGTAGCATCCTTTTATCCATCTATTGCCATAATTATAGTTCCTAAGAATTAATACTTTTTCAGTGTATATTTGTGCAGAATGGACTCTTAGTAATGAGACCTCAAAACAGTTGGGTTGTTGTCCCTCTCCCCCTCAGATGTAGGATATATTACTCTGGAAACTATATATTACTCTCCCCCACAGACCTAGAAGATATTACTCTGGAAACTACCGCTGTTCTGAACACTAAATAAAACTTAAATTGACCTGTGAGCTAATAGACTTTCATTATAGTTTCCTTGAAAAATGATCCTGTATTGGATGCTAAGTTTATGGTGTGCTTCAGCATGTAATCAAGATCATTTTTTCAAAGAATTGTTAAAGTGAAGACAAGTCCTGCAGTGTGGAAATTGGTCAAATATGTTTTACCCTAGGACTTAAAGGGCTTCAGTCAAACTGAGGCTTCAGAGTTCACTGTGCTCTACAAAATTTAAAGGAAGATGCAG